TTCAGTTATATTTTTTCCTCATCAATCTACACACAATACTTCACAGTGGCAAAGTGAAAACAGGTTCATGGAGTGTTTGGGAAAGTTATTAAAAATAAAAGACTGAAATATCTTTTGTTATGACACTTGCAATTGAGCTCTGCTGCATCCTGCTCCTATCAGTGGTCACTGAGATGCATCTACAGCTTGTTTAGAGTCCACCTCTGGACACATAAGTAGGAAGGGCACATGCCTGTCTGTATGAGGTCTCATAGTCAATGGTGTATGTCAGAGTGAAAACAAAGCCATGAGGTCGCGAGAACTGTCCACAGACCTGTGAGATGGGATTGTGTCAAGACACAGATCTGGGGAAGGATACAAGAAAATGTCTGCAGCATTCACGGCAGCCTCCATCGTTCTCAAATGGAAGAGATTTGGAACTGCCAACAGTTTTCATAGATCTGGTTGCCCAGCCAGACTGAGGGAAGGAAGGGCCAGGGCCCACTGTGACTGAGATCCAGAGTTCCTTTGTGGAGATGGGAGAACCTTATAGAAGGACAACCATCAGTGCAGCACTCCACCAATCAGGCCTCTGTGGTAGAGCAGCCAGACAGAAGCCATTCCTCACTAAAAGGTCCATGACAGCCCACTGGGAGTTTGGCAAAAAGCACATGAAGGACTTTCAGACCATGAGAAGCAAAATCCTCTGGTCTGATGAAACAAAGACTGAACTATTTGGCCACAGTTCCCAACAGTGTGTGTGGAGAAAACCAGGCCCTGAACATCACCTCATTAATACCATCCCTACAGTCAAACACAGTGGTGGTAGCAGAGACTAGTCAGGGAAGAGGGGAAGGATGGATGCAGAAGAATATAGAGCAATTCCGAATGAAAACCTTCTCCAGGGTTCTCAGGATCTCAGTCTAGGGTGTGAGTTAATATTTCAACAAGACAACGGCCTGAAGCATATGGCCAAGAAAACACAGGAGTGGCTTCTGGAAAGCTCAGTGAAAGTCCTGGAGTGGCCCAGAGTCCGGACCTGAACCCAACAGAGCATCTCTAGAGAGACCTGAAAATGGCTGTGGACCAGCGTTCCACATTCAACCTGGCTGACCTGGAACGATTCTGCCAAGAGGAATGGAAGAAAATTCCAAAGGAAAGGTGCCAAGCTTGTAGCGTCATTCTCAAGGAGACTTGAGCCTGTTATTGCTGCAAAGGTGCTTTAACCAAGTACTAAATGAAGGGTCTGGATACTGATGGAAAATTCCAGTTTATAATATACATTTTCTAAGCACTCAAAAAAAAAACGGTTTTCATTTGATCATTGTGGAGTATTGAGTGTAGAGTGATGAAGAAAAAGAATCCATTTTAAGGTAAATGTAGAAAACTTGAGGGTATGAAAACTTTCAATGCTGACTGTATCACATGACATCTAATGTTTGTCAAGGCAGCATCATGGACATGTGATTCAACTTCAGGATAATGCTTGAGGGCATAGTTTGTTTCTGAAGAACTTTATCTATAGCACTAGCAATGATGACAGCTTTAGGATGCAAATTCAAAAAGTGCCTGATAGATTACACTACCAGCTCAGTTTGGACACACTTTCCCATTGAACTGAATGGAGAAGTGTGTCCTCACTGAGGCCTGTAGTGAAAATTTTAGAATTCTAGATTTTTTTGAATGTGTTTGAGACCTGTGAGGAAGCATAAGTGATGTTGAACACGTTTAATGTTGCTTGAAATACTAAGTGGTTTTTAAAATACACTTTCATTTCCTTAACTTCTACTTTAAAATCTTATTTTATTTAAGAAAAATGGCAAAGTTCTAGGCATGGATGAAAACTGGAATGGTGCATCAATGTTTACTCCCCTTGTCAGGAAACAAAGTTCAACAGTCACGGGAGAAGATCAGACAAACGTAGCGTTTATCACAAACTCTTACCCATACATACATTGCATACGCTATCTTGGAAACCAAAATGCACTATCTGCACCACAGTCGGTTTGCAATTTAATATACAAAACAACCAATGAGATATCAGAAAGGAAGGAGGATTGCCCTTCCAACAAACTCCAACTTCTCTGAAAGACAACAGTGTGCAAACATACTGTACATTTCTCATTGCTAATGAACTGAAAACAGAGAAACTGTGCATGGTAGTGGACCTGTTCTGGGAACACTTAAAAATACCTGTTAAACCTATGGAAACAATGATGCTGTCACTGTGTTCAGTTATTTGGTAGTGTTATTATACTGTTGTGTATAATTCCTGTTATTACTGTATAAAATGTTAAAGTATATTTATTTTTGGTAGACTAAGTGCACACTATAAATATTCAGCCCAGTATACCTAGATATACAACCAGAACAATTCTGGGCCTCACACTTTACACATATCTCTATGATTTAACCATACCAACATCGACCTATGAGCACAGTTTTTCCAGGATTGTGCAGAATATTCATTCATGTCTGGTATCAGGGTTGAAAGATTTGCCCAGTATTATAGACAGTTAGTATGGTAGTATGGAATTGGGAGAAACCTTAACCTTAGTCCTAGGCCTAACCCTGACCCCAACCCCCAACTGCTTGGTGACCACTAACCAGCTTAGAAGTGTGAAACTGTTCAACTACAGTAAATGTCTGTTTTTGTTAGTGCCTCTTTTGGCACAGTCATCTTTTACTTCATGCAAACAGTGTTTCATAAAGTTGAATATTGTTCTGATAAAAGCGTTGGCACTTTACGTCCACTGTAATCAAGGGGTGAAAAGAGTTGGCTCAACACAGCAGAAGATGAGCAGATCTCTGTTCTCCAGCACACTGAGGACAGCCCTGACCCCTGCTGACCCACAAGGGAGGTAGGTATGGAGGGATGGATGGAGGAGGGGGAGGATGTAGAGTGACAGGGGGAGAAACACAAGAGGAATGTGAGATTATGGCCACTATCTCTAACAGATACTGGATGTCCGTCTCCTCACTCCTTCAGTGCAGATAGGAGGGGAAGAGTAGGGGGGCGGAAAAGGAGGAAGAAGAGAGAAAGTAGGTATTAAGAGGCAGATGCTTTCTCGGTGCATGTAAAAGCCTTGAATAAAGAGAAATGGACTTTACAGTAGAGGAAGAACAGGACAGTACAGGCAGCGAAAGGGAGGGAAAGAACAAAAGGTTATGCGTGAGTTAGTGTGCGTGTGTGTGTGTGTGTGTGTGTGTGTGTGTGTGCGTGTGTGACTGAGTGTTCATGCACACACATAGACATCTATCTGCACACTCAGAACCTCACTGATAATAAACGAAATCTTAGAAATGAGAGCCTATCAAGCAGGAATCAATCACTGGGGTTTGTTGTCCAGGAGGATGGCGCCATGTGGAGATAAAAGACAGGCGGACGTCTGGGGAGAGCTGGGAGGAGAGGAGGAGAGGATGGAATGGGAGAGGAGAGGAGGAAAAGAGTGGAGAGGATGGAACAGAGGAGAGGAGAGGAGAGGAGAAGAGAGGAAAGGAGAGGAGATGAGACAAGAGGAGAGAGGATGGAACAAGAGTCTGGGGAGGCTGGAAGAAGACAAGCAGAAAGCATTGATGGGGTATGGCTGGGCCGGGTAGTATAAACACCATCTGGTCTTATTTGAAAAGAGTGGACTTTTTGTGAACTGGCTATAAACTGGTTTTGACCCCGATGTGTACTGGTTAAACTGGGCTGAGCTTGAATAAAATTTACTGAGTTACATCTGGCGCCTGGAGTCAAACAAACAAACTTGAGACAGGACAAGGAATTTGGATATATCAAGGTAGATCAATTGCAGAATTTAAGTAGGTATCGCTGTTTGTGAATGACCCTGTGTCTTCGTACGATTGTCAGAGTTTTGCTCTACACCAGGAAGCCTCTCCCAGCATCAGAATCATATGATTAGATGAACTTGCACATGATGCACAAACCCAGCCTCTGATAGGGCTCCATCCGGTCCCACACACTGTTCCCAAGGAACATGCAAACATAAAGACACACAACTTTTCATTTCCAGCACAACACACATTTGTGATAAGGTGTTTATTCATTGTCTCTTTGTTATCCAACAATTCAACCTCTGACCTTTGACCTTTCTGCAGTTAAACAACTTGGCTTCCTCTAAACTCAGTGTTATAAGGCCTCTAATTGTATTTATTAGTTTGTCCTCCTTTAGGGCTGCATGTATTTTTCCTGTTAATTAAAATACTAAATGTTTTTGATTAAGATATTAATGTTTTAAAATAATTCCTGCCTATTTATCCATTCTATAGTAATATGGAACAGGCTATACATAGGAAATACTGTATATTCATGATTAATTTATCTAGAATTGTTTTTTGATCAATCAAATAATCATTCAGTGTATAAAATGTTTAAAAAAGGTGTAAAATAACACTCATTAAAATAACAGTTCATTAAAGAAGAGCATGACCCCTCCACACTTATTTTTTTGTCAATTCACAGATAAGATCCCAAAGATTTTCATTTTACAGCGAGAGCAACAGCAATTCATCGGCGGATTTGAGAAGCTGCAAACATGGGATGGTTGACAGTTTCCTTATAGGTGACTAAAGTGTTTTTCATTAATTTTCTGCTGGTCAACCTTTGAGTACTAGTGCTAATCTTTTACTGGATTTACTGCATTTGTAAAGTTTGCATTTTTTTAAGCAAAGTAAAAATCGGTTCATCACAATTATGATCAATATTATTTGATTGATAATCAGTTAATCAACAAATGGCATGTTGCTATTTTTAGCAATACAGTTTTGTGACCCCATAATAGTTATGTCATATTTAACTGAGGAAATTTAAGAATACATAAACAAGTATTATATATGGACAAAATCTGAGATGAGAATTCAACTACTCTAAGATTTTAGAATGGGTATTTAATCATGCTTATGGTTGTATGTATATCATTTCAATCTAACAGCTCTAGAAAACTGAATAAACAGTTACGACAAGTCAATCTCCCACTGGTTAACGCCTGCATTAAAGATCACATAAGAGCTCTCACCTCTGTCTCTTGATTATCTGTGCTGGCCTCTGATTGGAGGACTCCTGGGTAGGGGCCCCATGCTGTGTCTGGATGAAGGTCCCTGGCAGCTACCACCCTGCTGTCACCACTTTCTTCACTTAATTCAAGGTCATCTGGGGGTAGAAGAAGAGAGGTGTGGTTAACATCAAGGCCAGATCAGATAAATGCACCAAGCTACTGCAGAAGTGATGTTGATCTTATAAACATCTGGTAGCATCCAGAGAGTGTAATCAGTGACACACTTGATGAGGAAACCGCATCAATTTTTGCTTCATATCAAGTCTGAACTCACTTGTATCAATCACATTTTGCTAGAGAACATTTTGTGGGGAGGTTAGATATGCTATTATTTTAGCACAACATTTAAAAAAATGAGCATTCATAGAAATATTGTTGAAGCTCAAGCTTTAAAAACCCCTAACACTTGAAGCATGACCCACAACTTTTGGCAGAGACCACAAGATAAGATAAAAAAACAAAAACAAAAAAAAAAAACACACAATCAGCAAAAGCAGCATGACAGCTTGAACTTGACCTGAACCCTGGCAGGTCAACAGCAGGGGGAGTTTGATACAAGCTGAGGGCTTTCTGTCCCAACCAGTTCAAACAGGGGAACTTCTTGTGTACTTCCTCAAAGTGATAACTGTAGAAGGATGGCAGTGATGGCTGTGGTCTGAGTGTGCTGCAGCCCAGATAGAGCCAGATAGCCGGGAGGGATGAGGACTGATCTATCTATTTAAAAACTAAAGACAGCTCAGAGTGCAGGAGGAGCAGCAGTCCGTAGTTTAGAGAAGGCTCTGCACATTTGAGGATAAATGAACAAGTCTGAGCAGCACTAGAGAGTAGGAACTCCACTGACTGACTGGATGGGATTAATTCCAGCCGCTTCTGTAACACGACAGACCTCAGGGTGTGCTTCTGGAAAAGCTTCCTCATTATGACCATCTACTTCTCCCCCTGATCACAACACATAAGCCCCCACCCCAAAAAAATCTCATCCATGGTTCAGGAGACTGTTTTGGGGGTCGGTCTCAAGTGGCGGGCCTGATAAGAGTGTTTGTCTAACACTCTCCATGTCAAAACACTCATCTATCTTCTCTGTATCTATCCCCACCAGAGAACAACGGACAGACGCTGATAAAATGGCTTTCCCACAGCCAGTGGGGGGATGGAGGAGGTGGCGGTGGGGTTGGGGTTATATAGGGGAGGAGGGAGCAGGAAGGAGTGTGGCTTGAGGGAAAAATGTAGGAGGGATGCAGGGAAGTGAAAAGTAGACAATTTATTAAAACAAGTCCTTGAAAGCCAAAGGCTGTTAAAACTACTGTTTCACTATTGGAAAGACTGTTGTGGCTAAGGCACACAGGAAGTAGTGTGTTTCTCTTAACACATTTCTCGATGTGACAGTGACAGTCTGCACAGTACATTAAATAACACACGGGTCATGCAGTGGTCATTTGTTACAAAACCAGTTGATCTGATAGTTTCTGTTAGGATCACTCAGAAAAATAGTGGTTGCATTTAGATTACGGTAGTCTGCACCAGCAGATCTTGTTTACAGGTCATTGTAGCCTATAGAGTATGGCACAGTGTTGCAGTCAAGACCACCTAAGCCGAGACCAAGCCCAGAGTGCATCAAAGCTGAGACAAGCCCAAGACCAAGGCAAGGTGAGACTGTCCGTGCAAATTCTCAGTCATCCAGGTCGTAGTATGCATCTGATCAGATGCCTTCTTCTAAGTTTTTCAGCAAGATGAAACTGAGTCAAGACCAGAGCGGTGCAGTTAAACTGAACTTGATAGTTTGCCTGTGTTTCACTGACACTAATGACTCTATATAGGAGTTACTAAATATTTTTGTCCTATAAAGTTACCAAAAATTATACAAAATTATTTTATACAATTATACAAAAAATTATTTTTGTATATTGTTCCCCCCAAAATTAAGTGTTGTAGTCTAATAGCTTAGTCACGACAGCAGACAGAGCGAAGATAAAACAACTGTGGCTTATTTTACAGCTAAAGAATTTGCTAACCTGGCTAACAAAGATGCTAGTGTACTGAATTAAGTTGTGTTAGCCTTGGAAGCTGGACTACAGTAAAGTCACAATGATATTTACAGATTCCAGGTTCCCAGATCAATAAGTCATAGTGAAACACTGGTAAAACACAGACGGTGTCTCTTTCTAAGTGTAAGGTAGACAACAAGCTACATCCCGATTTTCATCAAAACGAGCCATCCTCCGAGCTTTACCCACATATACACACAGACACAGGATGAGTAACACTGGTCTCTGTGCAGCTGCTGTGAGAGCAATGTTCAGGGGCCGTCTACAAAGAGCAAGAGCAAAGGAGAGCGCCTACTACAAAAATATTAAATAGCTCCTATACAGTGTAGTAGGCATACAGTCAGATTCTGTTGTTTATACTAAAACACTCATTTATTTTTGCATAATTTACTAACTTCACTCTTACAGTGTAGAGTCACCACAAGGGTCTCTTGAGGGTTAGCCAATTGTGGGGCTACATCCCAACAGTACAGAGGAATATCCAGTCAGTTGTTTGCTTGACGATCAATCATACAAACGCTTGTTCAAACACTGACTGTTGCCAGTTTATGTTTCTGTTTGAGATCAAGCCACCTCTGTCCTTTTCAGCCAGGAACTCTTGTTGTTGTTTTTATTTTCATTCTGATGTCACTTTTTAACGTCATTCGGATTAAGGCACTCGCTGTGCCAATATGGCACCGCGAGTGCCTTAAGAAAAGGAAGTCTTTCCTTACCATATTGACACGTAAGTAATGATGTTAACAAATAAAACAGACAATGCACAGGCACTTTCCACACTGTTGTGGTCTTGACTGGTCTCAAAATAAACTCCACTTTGTCAGAGACCGAGACAAGACCGAGTAAAAATGTGCCAATTCCAAGATGTGGCCAAGACCTTGAGACCAAGACTGATCTCAAGTACTATAATACTATGTCAGACTGTATATAGCCTTGTGTTTTCATTGTCTTGCCATAGTGCACATGAGAGCAGATGCCAGATGCAAATGGGGTTGATTTGACCCTGGTCAGGTAAGGCTAAATTTGTTAATGAATGACTGGAGGGTGGAGCTTGACTTTGAAGAAAACCTGGTTGCACTGCTTTGTTATAATTCACCAAATTAAATAGAATACATTTGGTTTGTTGGGGTCTGGCCTTGTGACATAATAGCTGCCAGTTTCTGTTGAGGTTCTTACACAAAGGTTCCAGGTTTGAGTCAGGCTGGCATACAATTTCAATCCCAGGTCAAGCACCAACTCAAACATGACTGCTCTAACCTGCTGGCTGCAGAGTCTGAAGTTCAGCGCCTTTCCAGCAAATATCCCATCTCTTATCATCCTGTGAGGCCTGAGTTTGGCCACTCTGACCCTTCTTATCTCAGCACTCCATCAATGTCCTGTCTGCCTCTCTGTCATTGGTCAGTCTTTACCACATGGGACCCTTATCAGCCTGACCAGCTCCACTGACCCTCATTGTGAAACAGTGCAAGGATTTGACCTCAGAGAACCAACAAAGATATAAACCCATAAACAAGCTCGACACAAGTATCAGTTTGTCAGGTGTGGTTATTCCTTTCATGACTTGTTGCATCATATTCTTTCATGCAAGTATACATTTAGATAAATGAGTCATTGTTGTGGCCAAGCAACAAGGACCCAGCATTATTAGTCAGTATCATTTGATTAACAAATGTGTATCTCTCTCCCTCCCTCATAGGACGGCCCAGCGGCACGCTGGTTAGCGCCGTCGCCTCATAGCAAGAAGGTTCCAGGTTTGAGCCCAGGCCGACCCGGTGCCTCTCAGTGTGGAGTCTGCATGTTCTCCCCTGTGCCTGCGTGGGTTCTCTCCAGGTGCTCCGGCTTCCTCCCACAGTCCAAAGACATGCAGCTTAGGTTGACTGGTGACTCTAATCTGCCTATAGGAGTGAGTGAGTGTCAGTGTGAGTGTGAGTAGTTGTTTGTCTACATGTCAGCGCTCTGAAAGACTGGTGATCTGTCCAGGGTGAACCCCACCTCTTGGCCAATGTCAGCTGGGACTGGCTCCAGCCCCCCCGCAACCTTATTCAGGAATAAGCGGTATAGATGATGGACCAAACTTTTGCATATGCAAATGATGGCATGTGAGTGGTTAATTATTCACCAGTAATTACTGCAGAATAAGTAGCCAGGGAGTTTGTTTTTAATAAAACACTGCCTTTTCATATTGGTATAGAGAAAGTGCTATCAGTGCACCTCTGCTAATGAGTGCTGTTTGCTAATCCCAGCAGGTTAGCTGCGTTCACTGGGGGTACCATGAGGCCTCCAACCATCCTAATCCCTGTTAATTATCCTGCTTCCCGCCACAGACCTGGATAATAACCAAGTGCTCCTTATCAATATGGCTGCACTGGCTGCTACTACCATCACTTCTATCCCCATTACTATTGTGCATGCAAATGGCACACACTCGCACACACACCATTCTTTGCGTTGGTTTTTCTGTCTGGATCCCCCATTCCCAGTAACACCAGGCTGGATGGGCTTGTTATCAATATCAACCAGCTCCACAGTATCCACGCTGCTTCATTCATTTAGCTCTGACACACACTGCTCCTTGCGAACCTTCTCTCTCCCACACACACAAAATACACACAGGTCCACAAGATGACATGTTGTCACATTACGGTCTAAGACTGTGCTCACACACATCCAGCTGGTAGTCACCATCACATCAATATACTGTTCCACACACACTCACACACACACACACAAAAGCTTATCAATATGGACGCTTCAGCAGCCACTGGGGCGGCCAGGCCTCTTTGACGAGCAAAGCAATCAGTTCGTTATTAATAAAATGACTAACGCAATTAACCAATGAGTGTGTGCGGGCTAGGGGAGGGCGGTTGACAGGGAAAAATAACAGAGAGGGAGCACAGAGCTGAAGGTGGTAGACAGGTGTTCTAGGAGCCCAGGCTAGTGTTCATATAAAATTATGGATCTCTAAGATTTGTTTGTCTGTTAGGCTTGTCAGGTACTGACTGAGTGAGCTTAATCAATGGAAATGGAATACACTGAAAAGGGCTGGGTAAAGT